GTCTATTTTGGTGTGATTTGACAAGATTTTCGACTTGTGAGGCGTGCCTGTTTGGCGGGCGCCATAAAAAAAATAGCATCACATGTTATTTTTGTACTATCTTCCACGGTGGTAATTTCTGAAGTGAACAGAAAAATCTTCTCGTAAATTCGACAAAAAACATCAGTTTTGAACATTTGAATCTTCAAGTTCGTATATACGTTGTAAAGTTTACGTATGTAAGCTGTTCCATGCAATGGCGAAATACTAGCGCTCAAAATTAAATACTGCTGCGGTATTTTTTAGTTTTAAAAAATTCATATATTGTTCTTTAATTTACATGACTTGTATTGGATCGGAAAGCTTTATTATTTGAATAATACAACCTCTAAATCTATCGAGTATTACATCAATTGCAGAGAAAAGAATTAATAATATTTGAGATGCTCCATGAGTTTATCGCATTTTATTCAATTACTGCGAGGCTATCTCGTTCTATGACGAAAAAACCAGCAACAACCAGTCACAAACATCCAAGCGAGAAATATTGAAAAACTCCGAGGTTAAACTGTACACGATCGGAAGCGCACCTCGTCGACGAAATCGTGAGCAGGAACTGATGCTTTTCAAAATAAGCATAGAACTTTAGGTTTTTCGTTTTTCAAAGAACCATCACTTTTAAGAGAATAATTAAAACTGCACCACGCGGTCGCTATATTTAAACTAGGGTAAAGTTTGCTGAAAATTGGACGCGCAACATAAACTATTTCAATGTCTGCTTAAAATGTTCGCCAACAGAGTGCTATATCTCAGACACTGCTCATTAAAAAGACTCTACATCGACTCGATGAAGTATATCAATTGCTTTTATTGTTCAGGTAATGAAGATGAACGGGCGTGAATTGCAAGCTCTTGTCCTAGGACAGTTTAAAATATTTTCAAGTGTTATTTCGACACACATGTTTGACACAATCACTACGTTTGCTCCGTATTTTGAGATGATGGTATCATGTTCTCAAAATCGCGAGCAATTTTAAACCTTAGCAGATGCCTGCAAATGAAGAACAGATTCAGGTATACTCCGCTTGATCATTCCGACGAGAAATCATCCGAGGAAACAGGTTACTTTCTGGTAGGAAAAACTTCAGATTGCTTTCTCTGTAATCTTTTGTACGATTTATGGCCGCTTGGAGTCTCACAGAACACAGACTCGTACAATATTTCTCCGCCAGCAGTCCTTGCGCACAAAAGGCTTACGAATATGAAGTTTAATTTCATATTTATGATAGCTAAGTGCGAAACCACCAAACAGATTTAGATATTTACAACAAGACAAAAGATAGAGCATGTAAAATGATAAAAGACTCATCAATACAGAAAACCTGACCACAAGGCGAGAGTCAAACTGTCCACGGGTAGTTGGTCGTGTTGTAAGTAGAACAATCTTTAGCTGTATCAAATGCATCTCCTTTCTTTTTGTAAAGGACAGAATTCTAAGGTTTCAAAGAGCACCTCTTCCTCGCGAAGACCTGGTAGAAAACGCTAGAAATGCAATGGTTGTCAGTGTAGAAGCCAGCATCGTCTCAGTAAATTCAACGAAGGCGTTAAGAACACAATGTTACCTGGAAGAACTGTTATGCAAAAAGGTTTCAATTGAACAAATAAGCAATCGTGCTGTTAATACATCGTAGACTGTTCCGTATTAGGTCTAAACTACACAACTAGGTGTCAACTTTGTTTGAAAACCGCTAGCGTTTTCAATGTCCGCCACGTGTGGCTATGGACTTTGGAAATATAATTTGTAATCTGGCTCTAAATGAATGACATTCCGATCAAGCCAAGCAGATATGTCTTAACAAATCGCACTGTGATGTAAAGAGACTGAAAGACTGAGAGCTAAAAAGAATCGTGTATATAATAACGGTGCAGACACCAGCGGCGAAATTCTTGTCGAAGCTGTGAAAAGGCGGAGCTCACACAGAGTTCCTGCTGAGCTACAACGCGGCGCCCCGCGGTGTTGCAACATACAAGGACAGCATGTACCACAAAACGACTCGTTGTTAATTCATGAAATCCTATTCAGTGGGTGACATTTGAAGAATTTCAATTTAAACAGGTAGAAAATTGCCTAGTAAATGAACAAAGGTTTGGTTCATCAAAGGATATTCACAGAGTTCGTACAAGACACTGCCAATCACAACCGATTGACGGAATATATGGCGGAAAAATTGCGTGTTCTAAATTTGCCGAGAGTGATGTTGCCTTGAGTGGTTTTAGAGAGCTTGTTGGAAAGGAATCGCATCAGCTCTACTCAGAAGACTTGACAGATTTCCGATTCAAATTGTCCCTTTTAAAGAAATTTAGTTTAACCTTTTGTCCTCTCAATCATTCGTAATGGGGTCGAAGAAATACAGGCGACTACGTTTGTTACAATGCAATACGATCCAATCTGAAGACTCTCTGACTAACTAATTGTTTTGTTTCTATTTTACATAAATTTGTTACGCTGTGAGGTGAATACAGAAAGACAAGACCAAACTATGAGCAAGCCTTTGTTGGTGATCTTTTTTATTTTTAGTCGGCTGCTACACGCCAAGATTTCGGCCGCTTTGAAAAACAGCCAGTCAAGTGGTTACATACGCATGGTATGACACACACCGGATGACGGAAAGCAAACATTAATTAGAGAGCGGGTGCGAAAAAGCAATACAACAATGACAAAGTCAAGAAAGGAAGTAATTTAGAAAGTAAACTACGAAATCAAAAGGCTAATTCGCTCCTGTGAGATTGAGACAAACCGAGAAAGCGGCTGCGGAATTGTTTTGGCGCTGAAGTGAAATATAAAGCGACAAACTGGTGGGTTTTAGTAGGAAAAAATATGCGTTTATGAGTAGCTTAGTGCATAAAGAAATCTGTTTACATGAGGCCTGACGTGTTTAAAGGAAGTCTGTGATTTAGTTCATCGAGAGCGGAGATCTGAAAAGAATTCCTTGCCGGAGTTCTAAGTTTATAGAGGAATAGCACTGTGAGCATAATGTTTACATCTCAGTGAACAGTCAAATGGCGTGTACATTCTTACACCTCGTGCCAAAAATATGTCCTAAGCTAGTGGTTTCGTTAACACTTTTCAAGGGGTGCGAAACCAAAGGATATTACAAATTTGTAAATAAAATGTTATTAACGTCTTGAAAATTTCTCTTGATTGTGCTTAAAGCTAAGAGATTTTGAGATAAACCGCAAGACGTGCCGCTTGCCAGCGGGTACAATTCACGAACATCCTCTGATTTCAACCTGTAAAAGGTATCTTACTGTACTAAGCGACTGAAAAATGCCTTAGAAGAAACTCACACCTTCACACAGCTGCAATGTCAAAGTGAGAACAGAGCTTAATTTCCCTAAAATGCCACAGTTTTGAACACAAGACTCAAGTTCAGCTGGTAACGATCTATTCTAATTTTAAGCAAGTATATTTTTAACACTCGATGTGCTAGGGATCTTGGTAAAGCCTGAAAAATGTTTACATGGAATCATATGATTTACAACACACGTGGTTAGAGAACGGAGACTATATGCCCCGCTGAAGTGACAATTGAAACCACTCGCACATTAGTTGTCTGGCAGAACGTTTTTAAATCTACTCGACCACGCCTTAGTATAGGCAAACTCATACTCAAGCAGTTCTTTTACATTTAAATTAAACTCGATGAAACTTTTGCGTTTCAGATCTGACGTTGTCAGTATTCTCACAAGCAGACTTTGCAATAAAAGCTTCACTTCACAAGCAACAACGAGAGTAAAAATTTACTGTGTTACCTTATACTGTGTTCGTTGGAATAATCTGAATAAAATCACTTTGAAAATTAAAAGCTCTCCGCTTATTTTTGTCTAAAGCCGTCATTATTCTGAACCATTTGTTGGTTCCATAATGAATAAAAAAACCCTTTGAAGTCGGCTTCTGTGTCCTGTTGAAGATCACAACAATTATTCCGTCCGGACATTGTCATAAGCACTTTTGCAAATCACAGTTTTTAACTATGAATTTTTTTTTCCAAGAGATTGATTCAAGGTAAGGGATCTAAAAAGGAGTAACGCATCCTATACCTTCAACGAAAAAGGAAATGAGTAGGTTCAAAAAAACCACAACGATAAATTCTCGTTTACAAATTTTCATTTTAATCCCTCTAGGTGTAAGAGACACCCAAAATAAAATTCGCTAAGTAACTGCCAGAGGAGACACAAAGGGGCACACGGAAAAATTATCAGTAACTGCGGTCGATATTATTAGTATCTTTGGAGCCAGATTTCTAGAAATTTAGGCATTATTTCCCAAGGCACGTCGAAGGCATAATTAGCAGCTCTCGTGTAATTGGCAATAATACCACATTTCTGTAAACAGGCTGTTCAAAGGGACCGCCTTGAAAACTTCCTTTAGCAGCATTTAAACCGCCTCACAATAGATGCAAAGACCGTGCTTGTGAGTGCGCCTCGTAAGTGAGTGCATTTTACGTTGAACCCCATTTAGCAAATCAAACCGACGTATCGAAACTTGACCGGAAAGTGAACCCTTTTTCCCTTTAAGCTATTTTGGCATATCTTGGACTTCAAAAGCGCCCCGCTCTACTCTGTTATAAACATAGGCCTTTAAAATATCTAAACCCACACAACAGAGTTGAGATAAACTTTAAAAAAAGTGTTTATTATTCTTTTCTCGATTACGATTAATATACAGGATTCAAGCGAAGCAAGACATCTTATTTACATCGAATTGTACAATTTTCGTTTCCCTATCGTAACAATACTTATTGGAACCAATTTAAATTTTACGTGCGATCCACGCACGAGTATAAATATTTGAGTGCTCTGAATAAAATATTCCTTCCTTAGTTACAGCAAGGATATATTTAAATTTTCCTACGACAACGAATTCTTCTCGAGTTTAAATATATTACAACGCGTGAAAATTAAAGTGGTTTATTTCTAGGATAAATATATCTCGTGTCCACAGAGTTCCTTTTTTTTTTGTTCTCGGTCATGGCCGTTTCATTGTCAGTTAGTGCTCCACGTTGATAAAAGTATCAACATTTTGAACGTCCATTTTGTCGTTTTCATCCTGTTTCGGTGTCAAGGCGAGTACACTACTCAACTGAGCTAGCCTTTCGCCCTCTTGTACATCAATATTGAGTTCTATAGAAATGTCCTTTACATCGGGTTCCACTTTGATGTGATCTTCCTCTGTTTTATCAACGCTTTTCTTGACATTATTTTGATGGGTCTTTTGGTGTTTTCTGAGATGATCGCTACGCATAAAGCGCTTGCCACACTCGGCGCATTGGAAGCGTTTCTCGCCAGTGTGCGTTCTCAGATGCCGTTGTAGCTCGTCAGATCGCGTGAAGCTCTTGCCGCAAAATAACCAGTTACAAACGAACGGCCTTTCGCCTGTGTGCCAGCGAAGATGAGCCTTTAGATGAGACGTCTTGCCGTAGACCTTCCCACAACCAGGAATGTGACAAACGTGCTGCTTTCGCTTTGTGGTGTTCCCGGTTGTGGCAGCGAGTTGACAGTTAGGACAACGACACCGTCTGCATCTCCTAGTCCCTGTTACTTGATTAGGCAGCGATGCAGCGTTGTATGGGCTGGTGAGATGATAACTCGCGCCTGGGTTTGCATGATAACTCATGGACGAGATGTGGCTTGTAGACGCAACGGACAAACTCGGCGGAACTGCGCTGGAGATCGAGCTGCGTACAACAGTTTTATTTGGCTCAACACTCCACCAGTGAAGGCCTCCAATGTCGCTGCACTCGGTTTTAAACGCCGCCGTGCAGCTCAGCGATAAGGGACCACTTCTTGTCGAGCCAGGACAAGCGTGTACCGCAGCCATGCAAGGGGAAACGGGTCCATGCGAAGGACTCCCGTGAGACACGGCGAAATTCTGATGGACATGGCTCTTAGGGGAGGCAGACAGATAGAATTCTTGAAACGGAGAGAAATGCGATTCGGCTGGCGGTGTTAAAGGCAGCATTCGCTCTCCGGGACAGCTCATAATTTGGCTCATATTCACTGCATGTTGGCTCAGCTCGGGCAGAACACCGGCGGAAAACTTGCCGTGACATTCGTAGTCGCGGTGAGAACCTGACTGACCGATTCTACTACAAGTAGCAGCCAATAAAGCCAGCGGAGAAGGCTTGCGATATTCCTGTAAAAAATAACAACGACAAACAGTCAGCAACGAGGCGGTTGTAAACGCTATGCCGATTTAATAAATAATACACACAAATAGCAACTTTTAGCGACTTTCGTAAGGCGCTGAAAATCCCGTAAATGAAATACCTACGTGAGAAAACGGAAAATACTCCGGTCTTGCTAGAGTAGCCGTTGCCATTTCGTAATAAATCGAGGATGAATTTTTTTTGTAAAAACACTACTGGAATATCACAGCGTTCAATACGATCTTTCGCGTCCAAGAACCGAGACTAAAGTGAAAGCTACCTTTCTACACACGCACAAAGCATTCAGCTGGTTTGAGAGCCGGTGGCGGGGAAAACAGACTAAATGTAATTAGACAAACGAAGCCGACCGCCAATGAGAGGCCAGAGGCGGAGACTATTGCTTATGGCCTTCTCACAGCAATGTTGTTATCGTAAATAAGGTGCTATTATCACAGATGATATGGGAGGAGCGAGAGGGCGGCGAACTAATGAACAAAATCAAAAGAGGGGACATTTTATGATTGGATTTCCATGATCAAAGCGGCCCGCCGCTAATCGCGCGCCGTGATTGGTAGACACTTTATAAACAAGCCGCAGCTCGACCCTTGAAAGAAAATCATTTGTTATATTATTGTGTATTTCCGTTATCACGCCACATTATTGTCAGCACCTTTAAAAGTACTGTCATCGTTCGCAAAAGAGACCGCCTTTATTTAAATAAGAAAGGCTTCTGCAATACACTTGTGAAGGGGGCAAACAGGCCATTGTCCGAGTAACAAGCTATAAACAATTAGAGTCTTGTGCACGAGGTATACTGTGGCTTTTCGCGATAAAGATGCTTGAGGTGTTAACCTTTCATCGTGCCGCGCGTTTCACTCAATTGTTTACACGGCGAGAAAAATTCATGTCAGTTTTACGACAGCATAGGGCTTGATCCTGGCACTTTCCGGCTATTATTTTTACAGCAACGCCAGAATATAAACATTTTGTTGATGCGAGCTTAAATTCGCTTTTAATGTCAGTTTTATGGGGGCAGAATGTTCTAACAAGCGTGCGCGCTTACTAATTAGAAACCCGCCCTCCGAGACCGCCTTAAGGTCCACCTTAGGTTTACGCGGAGCTGTGTTTGTGCCAATCAACTCAGGTCAGCGTTTTCGCTTTCTGGCGTTGTAAGCAACACGATCTCGGCGATATTCTGACTGAGAACTAAAATTGCACTCAGATATCTGTGCGATCGAGATGACAGACTGACATCGACTGTTTATAGGTAATTATTGATGGTCCTCGCTTGTCGAGACAGCGGCATCCTTTGAGTTGGTGGATCAATTTCGACCAATTTCCTCGGCTAACAATTAACAAGTTATTCTCACTCTAACCGTGATTGAAGGGTGTCAGCGATTTTTCATCAGCCTCAGGTGCATATTTCACTACTATTTATTTTATTATGCAGGTTAAAGCTTCTAAAACCCGTAATTGAGACAAATCGCTGCTCAAAGAAACCCCCTTTTTCTTAGAAACACAGCCGTAGATTTACCGGCTTTTAATATTGCTCTGGTCAATGTTTTGGCCAAACAAAAGAAGCGCTTGCCGCTTGATTACAATGAAATTCTTTTTTAACAGATTTCCTTCACGTCTGAAGACACGAAAGCTTTAAAACGAGAGCAAAAACAAAATCCCGGAACATTTCTCTAAACCACCGCAAACGCACAACCAATATGTAGCGCCAATCGACTTAAAACACTTTAACTTCAGGGCTTAAGAATCGCTGATCTGCACCGATAAGAAACAGTGGGCCAATATACTTCTCAGATACTCTTACAACGATTACATGTCTCTGACTGACTCTTGGGAAACACTCGGGCGCAGAAAGAACAATAGCTTGCTATCCATTAAAGACTCCTGAACGAGGGCGAAAACACGAAGGAAGGATTGTTTCTGCTACTGCTCGCCGGCTATTCTTCGACTTCACTGTGTTGGCTTTTCCGAAATCATGTTGTTGAGTCTTAAATAAAGTGAGTTGAATCGTTCTAAGTTCCGCTCCTAGGGCTTAGCAAGATTAAAAAGTTTCATCAACGCGGGGTTTAGCGGCGTGTTGTATTCAAATAAGCCACGGGGGTGCTGAGAGAATAAAGCAAAACTCAGTGATGTAATTCTTTTTTGCTTATCATAAACGTAGGGATTATAGCAGTCAAGGCGCCAGTCCGGAGCCGAGATCGGCGGGAACCCATCTATAATTCACATTGTTTCCACTTAGCAAAACTCATAAATTTCGCCCCGAACTGAAAGAAAAATATCCGATGATGCAAACTTTATTGCAAAACTGTCGGGGTACAATTAAGTATTTTTGTCCAAACCACACTATTAATTTGGTTTACGGCGACCGAAGAGGAGGACTTTTATCAATCTCTTTGCCCGAAGTATTGAAGCTCGCAGAATCATCCATAAATGCTAAATTTTTTCTCTTGAAATTTGGTTACAGCGTGATGGGATTTTAGCCTTGTCAACAACCTGGACTAAGCGAACTGTCAACTAAAAGAGATTTTGAACAATGCTAACGTCTAACAAAAGTCGGCGACTTCAAAGACACAACTTTGCATTCATAGATCTTTCTTTATAATATATTTGCCACTAATTGAATATTTATTCTTCTGCCTCAGAAAATTGTCATTTCGTAAAAAGCATCCTGAAAAATAAGACAATCAAACATTCTCGGTTCAAGAATAAGCCGATTTTTCTAATTGCTGGCAAAAATAGGAAGAAAGAAAGTATTAGAAAACACTGTAAACCCCTCAAAGACCAGAAAAACCGCTTCTTCTCAAAAAAATTCCCTCAAAGTAAACAACGGGTTTACTGTTTGCGCGAACACTGCATTGGGTAAAAATTCAATTTTCGCTTTCTTTCCTTATCATGTTTTTGTATGTGTTAATTCTGTTTGCTCTGTTTGTATAGTACATGGGAAAAACCAACGGCATCTCCGAGGAAATAACGTGAACTCTGAAAAAGCTTACCTACTTCTGCACCTCTGCAGAAAAAGCAATTCAACTTTGTCAAATAAGAGAAAATTTCGTGAACATTATCAATTTTTGTTTCAATTCAGTGATGGATTTGCCATAAAAGGTTGGATAGTATATTACACGACCTAATAACCGACATAAGATATTGGACAATTTTCTTATTTTAGCCTGAGGCAATTTGTCTATTAACGAAATGATTCACACGGATAAAAAACCGGAGAAGTTCACATCAAAAAATCAACAAAGCTCGCGCGGTTCAACAGAAAGAGTAAATCTTGTAAATACCGCCGACTGGGTGTGTGTTTGTTCCTCAGTAATCTCTCCGTTATCAATTCTGTCTTTCTTTCTACTTTTCACAGTTCCGTTGTACACGTTCTAATCGGTATCATCGCTGTGATTTTCGAAATCTTTTAAGCTGTCTTATGGCGACCAGCGAGAAGAAAAAAATGTCTCCGGTTGATTTGGAAAGCAATCATTCTTTGCGCTACAAAGTGTAATCTACGTGCGTTACAAATGGTTTCCTCGATTTCCCCTAAATTCTCTGTATTTGTTTGACGCAGTCTAACAAACTTTACATTTGCGAAACAGGATAATTACATAAGCCGCTCAGGTGGCTGAATTCTGAACCCTAACTCTTTTATTTTCTCACTGTTTAAAATTGTATCTGCAGATGCCTTGATGAATACTTTACTTTTGCAAAAATAAACAGCCCTGAGGCACTAACATCAGAACTTGCCAAGTCTCCGCTAATGTTAAATTTCTTGTGTAAACTTCCTTGTGTTAGAAACTCTCTGCCAGTGAAACTGTCAAATGCCTCTTTTCGGTGAACGCGAAGAGGTAAGTGTCTTTCCACCGAAATCTGCCAATCTCTGTCAAGTAATTACAACAAAGCTGATATTAAGAGCCTGCCAGCCTACTCTGAGCGCATTTTCAATAAAGGCGGTCGCTTTTGAACTCTATTTTTATGGCGACTGATAAGGGCAATTCAGCGAACACTTGGCACGCGTTTTGATTCGCGAAGATAAAAGAAGCTCTTCATGTTGGCGCTTGGTTGTCTGCTGCCAGACCCAATATACTCTGTTTTACTTGAAAACGAGCTCTATTTCCGAGTAATTATAGCCATAACGAGTCTTCCGTTTTAAAGAAACGCGAGGTAAAAGTCCTGTTCCCTCTTATAAACAGACCGAGTCGCTGTGTCTGTAGCTCGAGGCTGTGGTCCTGTACCGCCACGCGAGAATAAATTTACCGCTTCCCTTCCCATGTCATTAAAATTACACCAAAGAGGTACTCGAGAGCCAGCAAAGCAAAACCTTGTTGAACATCAGTCAAACTAGAGTAAATGTGGAAGAGTGGATTAATCCAAAGACCTAGCTCTGTTTCAAGTAAGAAGAATCATCGAGCTGTGAAATTCCAAGCGGTCGGCAAGTAAATGTCGCTTTCTGATGATATTAAACGTCCAATACTGTTCTCAAACATTTCCGTTTGTATTTAAGATAAGGCTTAGGTTTAGTGTGTACTTTTATTGCACCGTTTCCAGTAATAAAAGAGTTTACAGAAACAAGGGCATCTCCGAAAAAATGTTATTAAAAACTTTGTTTCAATACAATCATTTCCTTCGCTTTAACGAGATATTGTTTAAAATTGCAAGACTTGAATCTCTCATTGCACATGTAAAAAGAAGAATAAAAATCACTTTAGATCAAACATGGTTACGATCTAGTTCACAAGCTCTATACACCTGGCAATGATATTGATTCGGAAAGTGCAGAAACTCTACTAAAATGGATATTTCTCCGGCGGTTTCTAGTGCTCGTTGTTTAGGTAAATAATCGTTTTATCGCTGTGATGCACTGTTGTAAACTTTCTGATACAAGTCGCCGTTTTGCCGAACCCTTAACAGGATCCTTGAGGTTGCGACAAATCGCCTATCTTTGTCAAATAACATTTGAAGGTATTAAATTTCAACATCAATGAAACGAAGGAAATAAGCGCGATTATGAGATGATTAAGCTCTTTGATCGTTTCCTGCCACCAAACAGTAGAAATTATCATCTGGGTGATAACACCGCTTATTGCACGGGGAAGAAAATATCCGCAAGGCACTGTCAAGTCAAATAACTGGGTCGCAACTCCGAGATAAACGTTTTAGGCACGGTGAGTGAACATTGATTCCAAAAAAGACCCGCTGGGCCGAGAAGAGTGCAATAAATCCCGTATTTGAATTTGTTATTACTTTTTTCTCTCTATTAGTACAATAATGTCATTGTCTTAGATCTTGAGTTCACTGTTTGATGCCCTGAAAGGGGGCAGAAGGTGTTTGTTTAGAAAAAAATCTTTAATTTGGTCAAGTTATTAGAGGGGAGCCCTCTAGTTGTAAGACTCGGTTTTGCAAGTTTATTAAGGAGACAGTAGTTGCAAACGAGATCTGTAATTGTACAGTTATCGCTTAGAAACCGTTCGCACTAAGCTTCATTCCAGTTACTAACGAGTGATCAAGCGACGAAATATTTTCATGGACGTTTCGCAAACATAGAGACAGACTTTCTGGTGT